TAATTAAATGAAATTTGCACAAAATGTCTCTGAGTTATTTATCTTTCATATACTAGTGCATCAAAATTTATCTTTGTCCTTAAGGGATGAAAAATAGGAGATAACTCTTCCTAACAGATTACTGTATACAGGGAAATTTTCGCCCCCATTTTATTTTCGCCCCTTTCGCCCTCTTCCTGATTGGGCGAATTTAAAACGGTGCGAATTCAAATAACACAGCATAATTACTTAAACAAAACTATGACTGGGCGAATTAAAAACGGGTCAAAATTGTTTGCAAGTGCAAAAGGGCGAAAATAACACGGGGCGAAAATAACCCTGTATACATACAGTATTGAATTTTAGGCTAAATTTCTGTACAAATTCATCTTTGGCATATTAATTTCAAAACTTGAAAAAATTTAATATGTGAATTATTCAGAAAAAAAATTTGAATGAAATGAAAGCTGAAATATTGTAGTTTTTGGCTATCTGCTAAAATATAATTTCAACTCTAATTAATGAGCTCTAATTAGCTAAGAAACATGAAGTTCACTCTTTTTTAAGGAATTAATTTGCAACAAGAGGCCCAGGGGCCACATCGCTCACCTGAGCAATTGGCTAGGAAAAAACACAGATCAGATCAGAACTGAAAGTAAACTGGTGGAGGGGGTGGGACCCCCCCCCCCCCCGGGGGTCATGATTTGAACAAACTTGAATCTACACTACCTGAGGATGATTCCCTATAAATATAATGAAACCTGGCTTTGAAGTACTTGAAAAGAAGATTTTAAAAGGTTTCCCTATATGTTCCTATGTAAAACTTTGATCGGCTATTTTGGCCCCACCCTACCCCCGGGGGTCATGATTTGAACAAATTTGAATCTACACTACCTAAGGATGATTCCACATGAGTTTCATCTTTCCTGGCCCAGTGGTACTTGAGAAGAAGATTTTTTAAGATTTTTTCTATATATTCCTAAGTAAAACTTTGATCGGCCATTTTGGCCCCACCCTACCCCCGGGGGTCATGATTTGAACAAACTTGAATCTACACTACCTGAGGATGATTCCACATGAGTTTTATCTTTCCTGGCCCAGTGGTTCTTGAGAAGAAGATTTTATAAGATTTTTTCTATATATATTCCTATGTAAAACTTTGATCAGCCATTTTGGCCCGGGTGTTGCTAAAACGCGGAACGGAAAACGGAACGGAAAGCGGAACGGAACGGAAAACGGAATATGTATGTTAGATTAATTCACTTAAAATACACAAATTTTGTCATAAACAATATATTTTAAACACATTCAATCCCCTACTATTAAAAATAAGTTGATTTCGTCATGTTCAGCCTCTTTTTTATTGACAAACAAGTTGATGAAAGAAGAATATCAGCAGTCTCGTTTAAAGTCATTTTTGTAAGTTCTATGGTCGATACAATTACCTTGTCAGCAAACACTTACAACTAATCATTGAGTCAAATGCTGACTGACGTTTTTCATACTAATTGTTAGTCCATTATTTATACTCCGAATTGACGACGGATTTTTTCTATTATTTTCTGATAACGACAGGAGCACAAGAAGGGTGTAAGCAGTCGGCAGGGGATGCTCACTCCTCCATGGCACCTGATCCCACCTATGATGTTTTGAAGGTCCGTGTTTTCTCTGCTCCTATTTTGTATTTGTTTTATGGACTTTTGATATTGAATGTTGTTCGTTATCTCATATCTTTCATTCACGAAAATTGCTGAAATAGCAGTGACATAGAATTGAATTTGAAAGGTTGTGTGTGTGTGTGTGGGAGGGGGTAAAAATGTCTGAAAAGAATCTGACAAGCGAAAAAAAAAACCCACAAATGTATGATTCAGGAGGGGGAATCAGTTCCTACTCCGGTGCCTTTTAATACTTTTTGTACACTTACTACTTTAATTAACAAAGTGTGGAGGTTTCAAAAAACATTTCTATAGTAAATAGGTTATATGTGACAGCGTCTGGCAAAATGGGTCCAGATGAGGAAAAATTACTTTTTCACTTTTTTGGATTTTCTTGTATATATGGATGTCTAAAACTCAATTCCAAAATATTTTTGAAAAATTCTAACCCTTTACGAAATTATGACGTTTAAAAGATATAACCCTGATGACGTCCCGTAAAATAAAACTAATGAAAATGTACCCCCCAAAAAGTGACATTTTAGGTAGACAACTTTTATCGAAATTTTGTTGTCTTTAAATACATCAGTGCTTTATCACATTAAAATATTGATGCACATATGACTTTTCTTTTTCAATACATGAAAAAAAAAATCTAGATGTCACTTTAATTGAAAATGTACATAGTTATCAGAGTGCACTTTCATTTCACGACGTAATGAAAAGAATTTGTTATAGGGTTTAATAATTTTATTTGTATGCCATTTCTGATATACATACATATTTACTTTTTATTCAAGTAAAATATTATGCTGGATAAAAAATTAATATATATATATATATATATATATATATTATACATCCTTTGTGACAAATTATTTTAGATTTCATTTCATGCAAAGGTTAAAATTCCCTTCAACATTACAAAAGCAATCAAGGCAATTGAAGATTCGAAGATAGACACAGATTCGAAATGTTCAAAATATTACACATTATAGGTCAGCAAACAAATTATTTTAGCAAAGACTGTTTCCTTTTTGTGGAAATGGGCCTGCTGTTCTCTTTGTTTGTTAAATTAATTTCAGGCTTTGGCTGGATTGGTTTAGGGCAAACAACATCTTTAGCAACATCTGAGTTACAAAATTCGCGAATGTTGTCATACAAATACCACTGTCTGATCAGATCTAATCCTCGACTTGGAATAGCTTCAGGAAGTTGACCACTCACTGGATGCATGTTATTTTTCAATAAATTGACAGAAATCGAGTGTCCCGAGATCCTCTCTTGAACTTCCACTTCTCCAGGCTTGTCTGAATGAACTGAAAAATGATGGTATTTTGTCAAGTTCTTCAATGGCTTAAAAAACTGCTGCAGGTATGCTTTCCAGTCATAGAATACAACAGGCATTTCTGCGTCATCTGTGAGCTGTGGAATGTTGTGTCCATTCTTACTGGAGTGTGCAACAGTCTCAGCTACCTGAATTCAAATATAGGTATTATTATAATATAAGTGGTAAACAAAGATATATCATCATTCATGCATATAGAAGTTTAACTATTAGATTAAATTTGAGTATTTCAAAATGTTTGTCAAATTTGACACTGAATAAGCACATATATCACATATTTTTTTCTCAATTCTGTCATAAAAATGTTTAATTGTTTATGACAGAAATTAATTTCAGTTGAGATATTGTTTGCCTGGATATTTGGACTGACAGCTTTAGTCCATATAATCTCAACTGAGATCAACCAACAGACATTATGAGGAATTAGACATTTTTTTCAACCTATGATATTTTACATAATAACAGCTTACTTCAGATAAAGTCTCCACATTAGAATTCCTCCATTTCAATGTCCACACCCCAAAGTGCCAATCAGGTTCAAACTTCGTATGACCTGCAATCATCATGGAATATTGGATGCTTTTGTGTAACCCTGAAAAAAAGTTTTTAAAATGAAAGAAAAAGTGAGCTAGCTCACATACCCCACGCTCCCCCATAACTTGACGGTGAAACACATAATGAAAGGCACAGTGCACTTTAAATACATAGTATAGATCAAAAAGGGCAATAATTGCAAAAAATCTTCTCATCAAAATGTCTTGCATATGAGGACATTTAAATGTGGAATGAAGTTTCTAGATAAATAATGGAATCAAAATTTCTTGACAATATACAAATCCACACATTAATTTGAAGTGGGGGGGGGGGGAGAAATTTTCTTGAATAATAGTCAAAACTCTTTGGGATAAAATAATGGAATATGTTCTAAATATCAGCATAGGTTGACGAAACTATGTAAAACAGTTTAAGAGGAGTGGTGCTGACAAACTGTTCATCTCTATATTCAAAATATGGCCAAAAAGTCTAAGTTGGAAAGTGTGGAAATTCCCAGAAAAAAAAAGGAATCGAAATTTCCTGGTAATATGCACATCTACATATTGTGTCCTAAATATCTGCAAAGTTTAACGAAATTCTATGCAGCGGTTTATGAGGAGTTGCGCTGACAAACTGTTCATCTCTATATTCAAGGTATGGCCAAATGCCCAAGTTAAAAGTGCAGAAATTCCCGGAAAAAATAATGGAATCGGAATTTCCTGGTAATATGCACATCTACACATTGTGTCCTAAATATCTTCAAAGTTTGACGAAATTCTGTGCAGTGGATTATGAGTTGCGCTGAAAAACTGTTCATCTCTATATTCAAGGTATGGCCAAATGCCTAAGTTAAAAGCGCGGAAATTCCCGGAAAAAATAATGGAATCGGAATTTCCTGGTAATATGCATATCTACACATTGTGTTCTAAATGCCTGCAAAGTTTGACGAAATTCTGTGCAGCGGTTTATGAGGAGTTGCGCTGACAAACTGTTCATCTCTATATTCAAGGTATGGCCAAATGCCTAAGTTAAAAGTGCGGAAATTCCCGGAAAAAATAATGGAATCGGAATTTCCTGGTAATATGCACATCTACACATTGTGTCCTAAATATCTGCAAAGTTTGACGAAATTCTGTGCAGCGGTTTATGAGGAGTTGCGCTGACAAACTGTTCATCTCTATATTCAAGGTATGGCCAAATGCCTAAGTTAAAAGTGCGGAAATTCCCGGAAAAAATAATGGAATCGGAATTTCCTGGAAATATGCATATCTACACATTGTGTTCTAAATGCCTGCAAAGTTTGACGAAATTCTGTGCAGCGTTTTATGAGGAGTTGCGCTGACAAAAAAAAGAGGACTGACTGACTGACTGACGGACTGACTGACTGACGGACCAGTCAAAAACATTATACCTCCCGCAACTAGTTGCGTGGGGTATAAATATGAAATCACCCTACATGATGTATACTTCAACCCCCTATACTTTGTCCAATGTAACTTAGCCTGATACAGAAAAACAAAGGATTGCTGGGCCACATACTGTAGGAAGAGTGTTTATTTACCTGTCATGACTCTCCATAATGCATACATCAGAACTGTGTTATTTTTGTTCTGTCCACTGCAATTGTCAAAGTGAAACAGTCCATCCTCTTCACCATGGCCATGGTAGGTTAAATAATGATGAACCATGCTGACCACACTGTTTGCTCCTTTGCCTACCATGTCTGCCTCATCAATCAGATAAAATACCTGCCTTCCTGCATATAAAAAGCACTTTGAGAACAGTATTTATATAAATTAAAGCATTTTGAAATTATATGATTTACAAACATCACAACATATGTAGTGATATTAATATTATCTTGCATATATATGTGCTATAAAGTGTAGTTAAAACAATAGATAATCTGGTTTATTACTTTTTAAACAAATTACCTGATCCTTCAGAGCACATGCCAAAAACATTGCATTTGCGTGGTGTCCTAAAATATTCTGGTCCAACTTGCTGAGCATGATGAGGTATATGTACCTGCTGAGCATAGTCCCAAGAATAATGGAATGCCCCTTTTACTGACAATGGTGGGTTACCTAAGTTGAAAAAAAAAATGTTTACAATGTAGTTTAAATAATTGTTTACTTATGAAAATTAAAATACAATTATTGTGTTTTAAAATTGCATAAATTCTACACAGTTAAAATTGCTTAGATTTAATAAAATGGTATTTTATAATCATAAATGTGTTGCAATAACAATTTTTCTTAATTGTGCATTTTTTTTTCAATGAAGTTAATGAGAGCACTTGTAAATAAAAATATACACACCACTTCCTTTGAACTGTTCAGCTAGTGAAGAGTATTTCTGTTTGCTGTTAACACACTGCATTCTGTAGTGATCCCTTTGCTCTTTTGCCAGCTGAACATGATTGTTGTAGGAATCAAGTAACAAAGATTTTTCTTCTTCTGTCAAAGTACCACTCTTTGAAATTTGGTTGGCAAAGTCCTGACACCTTTGGCAAAGATCTGTACATGGTTTTGTTATGACAATATGGGGACATAACTCTACCCACACTCTCTGAAAGGATCTTAGACTTATCGTCTTATGATGCAATTCCTCTGCAACTTTAACATATATTTTGAATATGTCTTCTTTTGTCTTATCCGAAGGCAGCAGTAAAACTCTAGCATCTCTAAAGTTTGGTAGCCTTCCTGGTAAAGGAAGGGCATTATCTCTTGCATACTGACACAAAAATACTTTGATTCTTTCTCTGTCTGTGTATGTCAAACTGTGAGAAGGAGCTTTACCTACTCTTCCGTGAACTCGTGGAGTCAACCCGTCTGTATCAAGAGATTTGGCAATGGCCAGCATTTTCTTTTTCTCAATGCAATGCAAAAAACAGAATGTTTTTCTGCAAACACGTTTACCACGGAAATAAAATTCCTGAAAAGGTCGTTCCCTTTCTTTGACTTTGTGTTTTTTTGCTTCAGTGTGTGTACCAGATCTACGATGCGCAAATAATTGAGATTTCACAACGATGTCCAACTCTTCCCTTGAAAGTTCCTTACATGATTCCCTATATTCCACGAGAGAGTCAAAGTCTATTGTTGTACTACAGGGTTGTCCATAAAACTCTTTACAGCCACATGTTTCATTTCTAAACTGTGCTTGCTTGATGTACTCAATTGTATCCACTTCCGATGGTTCAATGTTTATAACTGATTCTGATTCATCTGATCCTGAACTTGCGTCAGAGTCATAGTTTATAGTTACGTTTTCACTGTCAATATCATCCTCGGAATCGTAATTAAATGACTCGTCTGGTGCACCATAATACAAAACATCAACCATATGAAGTTCGTTGATGAAATCTTCATCTTGATAGTCCGTTAATTCTGACGGAACAGAACTACATTGACTGTCTTGACTCATTGCATTGTTTATATTTCTCGCTCCCGATAAACTTTCTACTGCATTGTTTACTTCCGTTACTATGAACGACGCGACAGTTTATTAATAGACTTTAGCTTAGATAGCTGTGGAGTGGATCTAACATTTTTATTTTGACACCACATTGTACAACTAGCGTACAGATAACATAGGCCTAATATATTCAAAGGTACATTTATCCTACATGATTCAGAATTAGAACAGTGGACTTTTCCGTTCGATTTCGATCGTCGGGTACTCGGGGTTTGTTGAATAATATCCGATAACGTCGATATGTTTTTAAATTAACTCGGATGTAGATCTATATACATAAAATTTGAAGATGTGGAAATAGTAGATTTAATTTTGAAAACACTATTTTACCTGAAATAATACACGTCAGATAATTATGTAATGAACCGACAAACAAAAACAGGAAAAGCACGTGTGCACAGTGTGGGAAATAAAACAACTCCGCAAATCTCGCTGTGTTTTGTGACGTTTTTTCTCTGTTTTGTCATCGCCGCAACTGGTCCCATTTTGCCAGACATTGTCACATATTTGGAATAAGGGGGGGGGGGGAGGCAAATATTTCATATAGAGACAAGCCATGTTTAAAGAGAACGAAAATGTAAAAAAAAAAATCCTATACGATTACGATTAGAGCAGATTTTTTTAGCAAGTTCGGCTAGAAACCTCTAACGTATCAAGTTCATTGTTGTTTAAATTTTATACAAAATAGTTGCTTCCTATATATTAAAATTCTGGATATATATAGTTGCAAAACTTTTCTGTGTTAAAAATGTAGCATCTTTACATTTAATAAAGTTATAGTTTGTATGTGGTACATGTGTGCGTGTATAAGGGGGAAAGGCAAGGTAGATATGAATGGTGAAACATTTGAGTTTATTTTCCCGCTCTTTGGAAAGGTAAGAGAAGTTGCAAAATGCGTAAGACACAGGGACAAATGTGCATGAGATTTGCATGCATATTAGGCCTCCTTAGCTCCTGACCCATCGACCTGCCTAATTTACATTTCAGAAGAATTATCAGGAAATCAACTCTGCTAACTTTCAAAGAGTTATCACAGAGAAAAATATAAGAAATGGAAATATATTATGAATAAAATATATCGTTTATTATAAAAATTGTGTAATTTTAGTGATTAAATATAAAACAGTATATTCCGTTTTCCGTTCCGTTCCGCTTTCCGTTCCGCATTTTAGCAACACCCATTTTGGCCCCACCCTACCCTCAGGGGTCATGATTTGAACAAACTTGAATCTACACTACCTGAGGATGATTCCACATGAGTTTAATCTTTCCTGGCCCAGTGGTACTTGAGAAGAAGATTTTTAAAGATTTTTCCTATATATATTCCTATGTAAAACTTTGATCGGCCATTTTGGCCCCACCCTACCCCCAGGGGTCATGATTTTAACAAACTTGAATCTACACTACCTGAGGATGATTCCACATGCGTTTCATCTTTCCTGGCCTAGTGGTTCTTGAGAAGAAGATTTTTTAAGATTTTTTCTATATATTCCTTTGTAAAACTTTGATCGGCCATTTTGACGCAACCCTTCCCCCGGGGTCATGATTTGAACAAACTTGAATCTACACTACCTGAGGATGATTCCACATGAGTTTTATCTTTCCTGGCCTAGTGGTTCTTGAGAAGAAGATTTTTAAAGATTTTTCCTATATATTCCTATGTAAAACTTTGATCGGCCATTTTGGCCCCACCCTACCCCCGGGGGTCATGATTTGAACAAACTTGAATCTACACTACCTGAGGATGATCCCACATGAGTTTCATCTTTCCTGGCCCAGGAAATTTTGAATATGTCTTCTTTTGTCTTATCCGAAGGCAGCAGTAAAACTCTAGCATCTCTAAAGTTTGGTAGCCTTCCTGGTAAAGGAAGGGCATTATCTCTTGCATACTGACACAAAAATACTTTGATTCTTTCTCTGTCTGTGTATGTCAAACTGTGAGAAGGAGCTTTACCTACTCTTCCGTGAACTCGTGGAGTCAACCCGTCTGTATCAAGAGATTTGGCAATGGCCAGCATTTTCTTTTTCTCAATGCAATGCAAAAAACAGAATGTTTTTCTGCAAACACGTTTACCACGGAAATAAAATTCCTGAAAAGGTCGTTCCCTTTCTTTGACTTTGTGTTTTTTTGCTTCAGTGTGTGTACCAGATCTACGATGCGCAAATAATTGAGATTTCACAACGATGTCCAACTCTTCCCTTGAAAGTTCCTTACATGATTCCCTATATTCCACGAGAGAGTCAAAGTCTATTGTTGTACTACAGGGTTGTCCATAAAACTCTTTACAGCCACATGTTTCATTTCTAAACTGTGCTTGCTTGATGTACTCAATTGTATCCACTTCCGATGGTTCAATGTTTATAACTGATTCTGATTCATCTGATCCTGAACTTGCGTCAGAGTCATAGTTTATAGTTACGTTTTCACTGTCAATATCATCCTCGGAATCGTAATTAAATGACTCGTCTGGTGCACCATAATACAAAACATCAACCATATGAAGTTCGTTGATGAAATCTTCATCTTGATAGTCCGTTAATTCCGACGGAACAGAACTACATTGACTGTCTTGACTCATTGCATTGTTTATATTTCTCGCTCCCGATAAACTTTCTACTGCATTGTTTACTTCCGTTACTATGAACGACGCGACAGTTTATTAATAGACTCTAGCTTAGATAGCTGTGGAGTGGATCTAACATTTTTATTTTGACACCACATTGTACAACTAGCGTACAGATAACATAGGCCTAATATATTCAAAGGTACATTTATCCTACATGATTCAGAATTAGAACAGTGGACTTTTCCGTTCGATTTCGATCGTCGGGTACTCGGGGTTTGTTGAATAATATCCGATAACGTCGATATGTTTTTAAATTAACTCGGATGTAGATCTATATACATAAAATTTGAAGATGTGGAAATAGTAGATTTAATTTTGAAAACACCAGTTTACCTGAAATAATACACGTCAGATAATTATGTAATGAACCGACAAACAAAAACAGGAAAAGCACGTGTGCACAGTGTGGGAAATAAAACAACTCCGCAAATCTCGCTGTGTTTTGTGACGTTTTTTCTCTGTTTTGTCATCGCCGCAACTGGTCCCATTTTGCCAGACATTGTCACATATTTGGAATAAGGGGGGGGGGGGGGGAGGCAAATATTTCATATAGAGACAAGCCATGTTTAAAGAGAACGAAAATGTAAAAAAAAAATCCTATACGATTACGATTAGAGCAGATTTTTTTAGCAAGTTCGGCTAGAAACCTCTAACGTATCAAGTTCATTGTTGTTTAAATTTTATACAAAATAGTTGCTTCCTATATATTAAAATTCTGGATATATATAGTTGCAAAACTTTTCTGTGTTAAAAATGTAGCATCTTTACATTTAATAAAGTTATAGTTTGTATGTGGTACATGTGTGCGTGTATAAGGGGGAAAGGCAAGGTAGATATGAATGGTGAAACATTTGAGTTTATTTTCCCGCTCTTTGGAAAGGTAAGAGAAGTTGCAAAATGCGTAAGACACAGGGACAAATGTGCATGAGATTTGCATGCATATTAGGCCTCCTTAGCTCCTGACCCATCGACCTGCCTAATTTACATTTCAGAAGAATTATCAGGAAATCAACTCTGCTAACTTTCAAAGAGTTATCACAGAGAAAAATATAAGAAATGGAAATATATTATGAATAAAATATATCGTTTATTATAAAAATTGTGTAATTTTAGTGATTAAATATAAAACAGTATATTCCGTTTTCCGTTCCGTTCCGCTTTCCGTTCCGCGTTTTAGCAACACCCATTTTGGCCCCACCCTACCCTCAGGGGTCATGATTTGAACAAACTTGAATCTACACTACCTGAGGATGATTCCACATGAGTTTAATCTTTCCTGGCCCAGTGGTACTTGAGAAGAAGATTTTTAAAGATTTTTCCTATATATATTCCTATGTAAAACTTTGATCGGCCATTTTGGCCCCACCCTACCCCCAGGGGTCATGATTTTAACAAACTTGAATCTACACTACCTGAGGATGATTCCACATGCGTTTCATCTTTCCTGGCCTAGTGGTTCTTGAGAAGAAGATTTTTTAAGATTTTTTCTATATATTCCTTTGTAAAACTTTGATCGGCCATTTTGACGCAACCCTTCCCCCGGGGTCATGATTTGAACAATTTATAATATAAACAACACCAGGATACTTCCACAAAAGTTTTATCTTTCCTGGCCTAGTGGTTCTTGAGAAGAAGATTTTTTAAGATTTTTTCTATATATTCCTATGTAAAACTTTGATCGGCCATTTTGGCCCCACCCTACCCCCGGGGGTCATGATTTGAACAAACTTGAATCTACACTACCTGAGGATGATCCCACATGAGTTTCATCTTTCCTGGCCCAGTGGTTCTTGAGAAGAAGATTTTTTAAGATTTTTTCTATATATTCCTATATAAAACTTTGATCTGCCATTTTGGCCCAACCCTACCCCCAGGGGTCATGATTTGAACAAAACTTGAATCAACACTACCTGAGGATGATTCCACATGAGTTTTATCTTTCCTGGCCCAGTGGTTCTTGAAAAGAAGATTTTTTAAAAATGATATTAATTTTTCTCTAATTCATAATTATCTCCCCTTGGAAAAGGGTCTGGCCCTTCATTTGAACAAACTTGAATCCCCTTTACCCAAGGATACTTTGTACTAAGTTTGGTTGAAATTGGCCCAGTGGTTCTTGAGAAGAAGATGAAAATGTGAAAAGTTTACGACGACAACAACGACAATGACAACGACAGACAACGGACAAATTTTGATCAGAAAAGCTCACTTGAGCCTTCGGCTCAGGTGAGCTAAAAAAGTGAAAATCTTAATTTTAAAACAAAGTCTGAGACTGGAAAAAATGGTGTCAAAAGAGACTTCAATAATGTACCTTGGAGCTTTGGTAACAGTGATCACTGATTAATGGCTGGTGATTAAGATAAGGGGTTCTTAAGCGGGGGTGGGTGGGGGGGGGGGGGTGATGAGGCTTTTCCATCAGTCATCAAAGAATGGAGTTTCTCTTAGAAGTCCTGGCAGCTCTAAAATAAATAAACAACACAAAAGTTTACAATACTTAAAAATGTGCACATTCTTAGAAAAAGTCTAAAGTATACAGTTAAATAATTACCATGCCAAAAAGAGGACCAAGATGGTTGCATCAATACAAACAAGAGGCCCATGGGCCACATCACTCACCTGAGCACTGTGGTTAGGAAAAAGTAGAAATGGGTTTATAAATGAAAAGTTTTAATCCAAAAGTAGTCCCATGACCAATCAGGGCTTTGCTATGTTCTTGAGAAGATAACTTTTAAAGAATTTTCCTATATATGTCTATGTAAAACTTTTTTGGCCATTGTAGCCCTGCCCTACCCCCCAGGGGTCATGATTTGAACATATTTAAATCTACACTACTTGAGGATGCTACCATATAAATCTGATTATTTATGGCTTTGTTATTCTGGAGAAGAAGATTTTTAAAGAATTTTCCTATATATTTCAAAACAAAACTTTGGTCGGCCATTGTGGCCCTGCCCTACCCCCGGGGGTCATGATTTGAACAAACTTGAATCTACACTACCTGAGGATGTTTCCATATAAATCTGATTAATTATGGCTTTGTTATTCTGCATGGAGAAGCAGATTTTTAAAGAATTTTCCTATATATTTCTATACAAACTTTGATCGGCCATTGTGGCCCCGCCCTACCCCCAGGGGTCATGATTTGAACAAACTTGAATCTACACTACCTGAGGATGCTTTCAAATAAATCTGATCAATTATGGCTTTGTTATTCTGGAGAAGAAGATTTTTAAAGAATTTTCCTATATATTTCTATGTAAAACTTTGATCGGCCATTGTGGCCCCGCCCTACCCCCGGGGGTCATGATTTGAACAAACTTGAATCTACACTACCTGAGGATGCTTCCATATAAATCTGATCAATTATGGCTTTGTTATTCTTCAGAAGAAGATTTTTAAAGAATTTTCCTATATATTTCTATGTAAAACTTTTGTGGGCCATTGTGGCCCCGCCCTACCCCCGGGGGTCATGATTTGAACGAACTTGAATCTACACTACCTGAGGATGCTTCCATATAAATCTGATCAATTATGGCTTTGTTATTCTGGAGAAGATTTTTAAAGAATTTTCCTATATATTTCTATGTAAAACTTTGGTCGACTATTGTGGCCCCGCCCTACCCCCCTGGGTCATGATTTGAACAAACTTGAATCTACACTACCTGAGGATGCCTTCATGTAAATCTGATCAAATATGGCTTTGTTATTCTGGAGAAGAAGATTTTTAAAGAATTTTCCTATATATTTCTATACAAAACTTTGGTCGGCCATTGTGGCCCCGCCCTACCCCCGGGGGTCATGATTTGAACAAACTTGAATCTACACTACCTGAGGATGTTTCCATATAAATCTGATTAATTATGGCTTTGTTATTCTGGAGAAGAAGATTTTTAAAGAATTTTCCTATATATTTCTATACAAAACTTTGGTCGGTCATTGTGGCCCCGCCCTACCCCCGGGGGTCATGATTTGAACAAACTTGAATCTACACTACCTAAGGATGCTTTCAAATAAATCTGATCAATTATGGCTTTGTTATTCTGGAGAAGAAGATTTTTAAAGAATTTTCCTATATATTTCTATGTAAAACTTTGATCGGCCATTGTGGCCCCGCCCTACCCCCGGGGGTCATGATTTGAAAAACTTGAATCTACACTACCTGAGAATGCTTCCATATAAATCTGATCAATTATAGCTTTGTTATTCTTGAGAAGAAGATTTTTAAAGAAATTTTTTTTAATATTTCTATGTAAAAATTTGATTGGCCATTGTGGCCCTGCCCTACCCCCGGGGGTCATGATTTGAACAAACTTGAATCTAAACTACCTGAAGATGTTTCCCCATAAGTTTCATCTTTCCTGGCACAGTGGTTCTTGAGAAGAAGATTTTTAAAACATACCACCAAATTTTCATTAATTCCCAATTATCTCCCCTTGAATGAGGGCGTGGCCCTGTATTTGAACAAACTTGAATCCCCTTTACCCAAGGATGCTTTGTGGCAAGTTTGGTTAAAATTGGCCCAGCGGTTCTTGAGAAGAAGTCGAAAATGTGAAAAGTTTACAGACAGACAGACAGACAGACGGACAGACAGACGGACGCCGGACAAAATGTGATCAGAAAAGCTCACTTGAGCCTTCGGCTCAGGTGAGCTAAAAAGGAAGTATTCCTCACAACAAAGGCCAGAAGAAAATAGGGACCACCAGCCCAGTCCAATCTCTGGTTCCTATAAGAAGACTAAGTAAAGAAGAGTTTCAGGACATTGTACGGCCACAGAAAAATGGAGTGTTTGCAGTTATAGATGCCAAGAGTCGAAGCAGCGGGATGAAGTTTTTACGACCTGGGCCTAGTGAGGTCCAGCCAGTGGACACCTACAAGGAAGCTGTGTCAGATGACCCAAATTCAATTTTATACAAAGTACTTCACCAAGAAAAGACTGCTAAATTGTGGAACAATGCATTTAAAGAACACTCACAGAAGTTTCCAGACTGTGATGGTCAACTGGACTGGAATCAGCATGGGGAAGAAAAACGAGGCCTGGCATGGATGATTTCCATTCAATGTAAGAAGTGCCACTATACCAGTCACTGAGAAAAGCTTTACGAAGAGGTGAGAAGATCTGGCTGGGAACGAAGAGCTGCACAGCTGAATGTGGCCATGGCTGTCGGTCACCTGGGTACCAGTCTTACAACAGAGGGTATGCGTGGTATGCTTCTTGGTGCAAATATTGAACCAGCGTCAGCCACCAACATGCAACAGACCTGCAACAAAGTGGGGAAAATTATAACCGATGTAAATAAAAACAGTATGAAGACTAGATATCATTGAGATGGTGGCCATCTCAAAGGGCCCCGTTTTCAACAATGAACATGAAAATGTAAGGTAGTTTAAAATGGTTTATTTTGAAGAGGAACATTTGTGTAATACAGTAAAAGTAATTTAGTACGACTTCACGGATATTGCATATTTACAGATATATATCGAAGTTATCTTGTATCCCCAGTTATATAAATTTACTGGAATTAAAGAGAAAAAATTATGCACCAAACAAAGATTTGAAACAGAGAGGCTAATTCTGACCATAACCTAGAAACTTCGACCAAGCTCACTGCACATCCATTAACCAGTGGAACTCTGTGAGTGAAGTAATATCCAAATTGGGCCAAGGAGAGAGAAGATATGCTCCTGACAAGGATTTTTCATAATATACTGCTATGACATTGATCTAGAAACATGGTTCAAAGTCACTGCACACCAGCTACCCAAAGGCACTCTGTGAGAGAAGTACGAGACAGATTGGGCCAAGGAGAGAAAAGATATGCTCCGGACAAGGATTTTTCAGAAAATTCTGCTATGACCTTGACCTTTGACCTAGAAACCTGGTTCAAGATCACTGCACACCGATTACCCAAAGGCACTCTGTGGGTGAAGTATGAGACAGATTGGGCCAAGGAGAGAGAAGATATGCTCCGGATAAGGGTTTTTCATAAAATTCTGTTATGACCTTGACCTTTGACCTAGAAACCTGGTTCAAAGTCACTGCACACCGGCTACCCAAAGGCACTCTGTGGGTGAAGTATGAGACAGATTGGGCCAAGGAGAGAGAAGATATGCTCCGGACAAGGGTTTTTCATAAAATTCTGCTATGACCTTGACCTTTGACATAGAAACCTGGTTCAAGGTCACTGCACACAGATTACCCAAAGGCACTCTGTGGGTGAAGTATGAGACAGATTGGGCCAAGGAGAGAGAAGATATGCTCCGGACAAGAGTTTTTCATAAAATTCTGCTATGACCTTGACCTTTGACATAGAAACCTGGTTGAAGGTCACTGCACACTGGCTACCCAAAGGCACTTTGTAGGTGAAGTATGAGCCAGATTGGGCCAAGGAGAGAGAAGATATGGTCCGGACAAGGGTTTTTCATAAAATTCTGCTATGACCTTGACCTTTGACCTAGAAACCTGGTTCAAAGTCACTGCACACCGGTTACCCAAAGGCACTCTGTGGGTGAAGTATGAGACAGATTGGGCCAAGGAGAGAGAAGATATGCTCTGGACAAGAGATATCGGACGGACAGCCGGACGGACAGACTGATCACTATAGGGCACTTGCCAAGCGGGCCCTAAAAATTCCGCAGAATATTCAAGAACTTAATGAAAAATGTGGACTTCCGGATACCCCCATCAGAGCGGAAGGAGATGCTCGGAACAATAATGCCATCTTCAGTGCTATTGGGAAAACCCCATTCCAAGCTGCCACCCAAGTGACGTATACCATAAGTGAAAATGTAACTCAGAGGAAGAATGTGGTAGCAGTTTTCTGTGGTAATAAACTACCCATGGTATGTAAGAAAGGCGCACACCTATGAAGCAAAGGAAAAGAAGTTACCTGCCCAGGACACGAAGACTGCACTGCAACCATTCCTCCGGAGACCACCATTGCAGACGAAAAGCAATGGGCCGCTAATTGTGTTGGTGAGTTACAAAGTGATGACCGGCCACTAGTCATATCCCATTTCATCAGTGATGGAGACAGTGCATGCCGCTGCGTCTGGTGCATCTGAAAAACAAGGACATGTGATTGAAAACCTTAAGGACTTGCGTCACTTCTTTGACTCTCAAATAAAACAGACTGCTACGGCTCCATTCAGCAGTCACATGTTTCCGGGAAGAACCAAGGCCATAGGAGAATCCATGCAGAGAAGATTTGCTTTGGACCTGAAGCTTCGATGCAGGACAGAGTACGAGAATTGCTACAAACACTACTCCGGCGACTTCCCTTTGATGAAGCGTGCTATGTCTACTGCGGTTGGTTCCCTCATAAACTGCTACCAGGGAGAGTGCGTTAAGTCCTGTCAACTCTTAAATCCATTTCCTGTCGTGGACTGAAAAGCAATAAGTGGAAATCTTCAGTGTTACCTAGTGACTTTGAATTAAACATGACAGAAAAAGACAAATGTTTGTTAAAAGATTGTATAAATTTGACTTTAGGACAAAGTAATCTTGATAGAATCAAATATCATACTTGTACACAAAAATCTGAATCTGTAAATAGGACATATTTAAAATCAAATCCAAAATGTATTACAAGTAGTAGGAATTTTGAAAGTAGATTTACATAAAGTTGTGCACTCACTGAATAGGGGTCATGGAAACTCAACACTGGAACTTTGTGAATCTGTAGGGGCCTGTTGCAATTGTCAAAGGAAGTAGAGTGGTCCATCATCTAAAACAACAACAAAATAGACAAAATTTAACTTTAAAATGAAACAAAAACTGTTAAAATATAAATTTCAAAGAAAATTCTACAGATCAAAAAGATATCAGCTGTTCGATAACAAGAGGCCCACGGGCCTTACAGGTCACCTGAGCATCATGCAACAACTTTCAAATGATTGAATTTGGTTCATGTTTTAAGCTAGATACTATTGCATTCATGATTTTTAAAGAGGTACCAATGCTTACCATAACTATACACTTAGCAATTGTTTGGTTTATTTACTTAATACCCATAAGCAGGGTAGGGGAACAAAATGTCTGTCAACTAATCAGTAATATTCAGCGATAATCAGGAGTGCTCCTACCACACATGAACCCCTGACCCTAGGTCTACACATTGCACAATTTTTGAAAAGGCACACTCGCTTATCAAAAATGTTTGATTAATACCAAGGAGCATATTTCAAACAATTCATTTTCAGTATATAAGTAGAGCCCCCCCCCCAAATTTTGGTATCCCAGACCCAGGGGCCATGAAATTCACAATTCTGGAAGAAGAGCCCTTCATAAATATGTAAATAGTTCATCTGCTTATTACCCATAAGCAGGGAAAAAGATTTTCAAAGATTTAATGCATTTTCACTATATAATCAATAGAGCCCCGCCCTAACACCATAACCCCTGACCCTGGGGCCAAAAAATTCACAATTTTGGTAGAGGCACTCTTGCTCATCATAACTATGTACTTAGTTTAGTTTATCTAATACCTAGGAGCAGAGAAGAAGATTTTCAAAGATTTAATGCATTTTCACTATATAATCAATAGAACCCCGCCCTAACACCATAACCCCTGACCCTGGGGCAATAAAATTCACAATTTTGGTAGAGGCACTCTTGCTCATCATAACTATGTACTTAGTTTAGTTTATCTAATACCTAGGAGCAGAGAAGAAGATTTTCAAAGATTTAATGCATTTTCACTATATAATCAATAGAACCCCGCCCTAACACCATAACCCCTGACCCTGGGGCAATAAAATTCAAAATTTATGTAGAGACACTCTTGCTCATCATAATTATGTACTTAATTAGTTTATTTAATACTCAGGAACAGAGAAGAAGATTTTCAAAGAAATAATGCATTTTCACTATATAATCAATAGAGCCCCACCCTAACACCAGAATCCCTGACCCTGGGGCAATAAAATTCACAATTTTGGTTGAGGCACTCTTGCTCATCATAACTATGAACTTAATTAGTTTATTCAATACCCAGGAGCAGAGAAGAAGATTTTCAAAGAAATAATGCATTTTCACTATATAATCAATAGAGCCCCACCCTAACACCAGAACCCCTGACCCAGGGGCCATGAATTTCACAATTTTGGTAGAGGACTCAATGCTGATTACAATCATATCAACAGTTTGACTGCTTGATGTCCGGAAGTAAAGAAGAAGATTTTTAAAGATTGCACTAATTTTAGTGGTTTTTGCCCCACCCCCCAGGTCCTAGGGGGGCAGGGACCGCGAAATTCACAATTTTTGTTCCCCTTCACCCATAGATGCTTTATGCCAAAATTGGTTGAAATTGGTTCAGTGGTTTCAGAGAAGAAGCTGAAAATGTTTAAATGTTAACGCACGACGCACGACGAACGACAGACGACGACGGACGAAAACAGATAGCAATAGGTCACCTGAGTTTACTCAGGTGACCTAAAAAATCTAAAGACACTTACAGTAAATCATTAGCAGATCCAAAATTAAAAAGGAAATTGTAAGACTGTGAAGGGGGAAGGGCATTGATGATATGTACATGCATTTCAAATGTATAAAATTTGTATTTAAAAATATATTTTGTGAACTATCTTACATGTAATAATTGTTTTTATGGTTCATTATGCATTGATTATTTTCAACTGTGTATATGGGGAAAATGTGGACAAGTGAATAATGTATTATTGTATATGTAAAATGTGACATTTTCTAATACGAGAGAGTCTGTACATGTAAAAATGTTATATTCTTTATTATTTAGCTCATTAAAATTTTTTGAATTAAAAATCTTGTTTTTCTTACCTGTGTGATGAACACAACAAAGGTTACAGAGGTAATTGGTAGAAATCCAGGTATACGGGTGTCAAAACTGTCTGTTGGTGACCAGACTGTATGCCGCATCTGCCATTATTGATCTTTTCAAGGGGAGACAACTCCTGAAATCAGAGAAATTTTAGTGAAAATGAGAGTTACCTGTTCCTCTTTAGGTCTCACACAATATATTACTATATAGCTTGAATTAAATTACAGTGGACCCTCAGATATCCGGATGCCAGATATCCGGATGCTTTAGCAGACCTGTTTACCCATATCGTTGTCTCTCAGTATTTTTTATTAGATTTATCCGTGAGATTTGGCATTTGTCTGTAAGATTTCACTTTCCATCAATTTTACATATATGAATGGAGAACTACTGCTTTTTTGATTACTAAAACATGGTTAAATAACGTGATCTTGATCATTTTATAATACGGCGTTTTAGCAAAACGACATAACTCAGAATTCGAAATTTTTTAGCGATTAAAAAAGTATGAAACTGAGACAGATCATAACGAAAACTAACTTCTCAAAACCAAATAAGTCTATTTCTTATTTCCGTATTTTCATAATAGCAAAACGTGAGACGTATTTTGGACTAAAAATCCGTACAAAATACGGCGAAATCGTAAGAGTAAACAGGTCTGCTTTAGTATCCGGACGATTTTTCATTGAAACATAATTTTTTAATGTTATTGTATCTTGTTTAAATGGTGATTCAGATATCTGGACACTTCACATATCCGGACAAATTGACTAGGAACCAAAGCGTCCGGATAAATGAGGCTCCATTGTATTTAATTTATTAGACTCTAGGTGTGTCTAAGCTGTCGCTGACGGATGTCAAAGATACAGACTCCCCTCCTCTAGATATTAAAAGCTGGTGATGTGGTGCCTATTCAGTGGCTGGACAGCCGTGTTCATGACAGATGAATGCTGTTGTTAGAGAAAGCAGATATTTCATTCATGACAAAAATCCTATACATTTTACTTTTTCTTTTAACAATCATAGTAAAATAACCAGAAGTCTCTGTCGAGACTGTAGCTCTACTGGTTATCTACTTATAATAAAGGAAGAGAAAAGAGAAACTTTAAAAAGCAACCAATAGAATAATGATCCTAGATCAAGTCTCTTTTTGTGGCAAGATTGCAATAAGACTACAACTGTAGGAATAGCTTTTAATAAAACTGAACAGAATTTTCAATTTTATTTACTATGGCAACATCAATCATCAAAAACACAAAACTGATAATTATGTATCTAAGTGTAGTCTACATGTATGCCAAATTACATTATAATCAGACTAGAACTGTATTTGGAATAGCATTTTGAAAGTATTTCACAGAAATTTCTACTCTTTATTAGTAACCATGGCAATACCATTCAGGGAAAACAAAAGAATTATGTAACTGTTATATTGTACTTTACTTGTGTGCCAAGTTATACTGAAATCAGACCAAAACTGTAGGAGGAGTAGCATTTTGAATGTATTTCATAGAAATTTCTATTTTAAGTTACCAGAGCAAGACGCGTTCATTGAAATTTAAAACGGATATAAAGAATTACCAGGTGTGTATCAAAGTGCACTCTACTTGTGTGCCAAGTTATATTGAAATTAAACCAAAACTGTAGAAGGAGTGGCGCTTTGAAAGCATTTCCCAGTAATATCTACTTTAAGTAACCATGGCAACATCGTTCATCGAAATCACTACTGATATACAGAATTATGTATCGTAGTGCAGTCTACTTACCGGTATATGACAAGTTATATTGAAATCAGATCAAAACTGTAGAGGGAATAGGGTTTGGAAAGTTTTCCTTAGAAATTTATATTTTTAGCAACCACTGCAACACCCTTCAACAAAATCAAAAACCGATATACAGAATTATGTATTTTAGTGTAGTCTACTTATATGTCAAGTTATATTGAAATCAGACCAAAACTGCAGGAGGAGTAGCATTTTTTAAAATTGTTTACAGATGGACAGACAGAGGGACGGACGATGGATGTATTACTATTGCATAAGCTCTTCTGGTCTTCGACCAGTAGAGCTAAAAAGCATAAACAAAGAAAACATATTTCTTGATCAAAATATCAAACACTGCATCACAAAGGACAGTCCTTCTAATTGTTTTTAATTTTTGCCCTTGACCCTTTATTGTACTCACAATGTACACAAGCACTCCTAGGGGGCAGCAGTGTGTGACATAAACAGACATTTCTGCTCTCTGATGAGTGGCCTGCTGACTAGCTATGAGACTGGAGGTTCCAATATAAAGCTTAAGTCACTGGTCATCTTTTTGTGGCAACGTAAACTCTGCAAATAATATAGATGAAACAAAATACTTGCTTTTAATAAAACTTGACTTTCAGACTTCAGAGTCTCTTCAGAATTCAGATACAGTTTTAACAGATCTGAAAGTAAAACACACTTATAAAGAAGTCACAGGGACTGATTCACTGATAATTTTACTTTCTTTGATTCTTTATACTGTATGTCTGTAAACCTATTACATTTGGCAGTGTCTTCTTTTAAGCGCTTTTGACGGAAAGATACTTCCGCTAATTCATGCAAGTACATCGCTAAATATCTGTCTTAAACAATGTTACATGAATAACAGTCCAGTCCAATACGAAAATTCGTAAGATGATGGAAAAACGTAAGATTACGAAAAAGCGTAATATTACGAGTTATCATAATATAAAACTTATATTACAATTTTTCGTAATGTAGTTAAATTACGAATACACGTAATATAGCAGATTGTAAGACACTAAATTACTTAAAATTGTTTACAGATGGACAGACAGAGGGACGGACGATGGATGTATTACTACTGCATAAGCTCTTCTGGTCTTCGACCAGTAGAGCTAAAAAGCATAAACAAAGAAAACATATTTCTTGATCAAAATATCAAACACTGCATCACAAAGGACAGTCCTTCTAATTGTTTTTAATTTTTGCCCTTGACCCTTTATTGTACTCACAATGTACACAAGCACTCCTAGGGGGCAGCAGTGTGTGACATAAACAGACATTTCTGCTCTCTGATGAGTGGCCTGCTGACTAGCTATGAGACTGGAGGTTCCAATATAAAGCTTAAGTCACTGGTCATCTTTTTGTGGCAACGTAAACTCTGCAAATAATATAGATGAAACAAAATACTTGCTTTTAATAAAACTTGACTTTCAGACTTCAGAGTCTCTTCAGAATTCAGATACAGTTTTAACAGATCTGAAAGTAAAACACACTTATAAAGAAGTCACAGGGACTGATTCACTGACAATTTTACTTCATTTGATTCTTTATACTGTATGTCTGTAAACCTATTACATTTGGCAGTGTCTTCTTTTAAGCGCTTTTGACGGAAAGATACTTCCGCTAATTCATGCAAGTACATCGCTAAATATCTGTCTTAAACAATGTTACATGAATAACAGTCCAGTCCAATACGAAAATTCGTAAGATGATGGAAAAACGTAAGATTACGAAAAAGCGTAATATTACGAGTTATCATAATATAAAACTTATATTACAATTTTTCGTAATGTAGTTAAATTACGAATACACGTAATATAGCAGATTGTAAGACACTAAATTACTTAAAATTGTTTACAGATGGACAGACAGAGGGACGGACGATGGATGTATTACTACTACATAAGCTCTTCTGGTCTTCGACCAGTAGAGCTAAAAAGCATAAACAAAGAAAACATATTTCTTGATCAAAATATCAAACACTGCATCACAAAGGACAGTCCTTCTAATTGTTTTTAATTTTTGCCCTTGACCCTTTATTGTACTCACAATGTACACAAGCACTCCTAGGGGGCAGCAGTGTGTGACATAAACAGACATTTCTGCTCTCTGATGAGTGGCCTGCTGACTAGCTATGAGACTGGAGGTTCCAATATAAAGCTTAAGTCACTGGTCATCTTTTTGTGGCAACGTAAACTCTGCAAATAATATAGATGAAACAAAATACTTGCTTTTAATAAAACTTGACTTTCAGACTTCAGAGTCTCTTCAGAATTCAGATACAGTTTTAACAGATCTGAAAGTAAAACACACTTATAAAGAAGTCACAGGGACTGATTCACTGATAATTTTACTTTCTTTGATTCTTTATACTGTATGTCTGTAAACCTATTACATTTGGCAGTGTCTTCTTTTAAGCGCTTTTGACGGAAAGATACTTGGAACCGCTAATTCATGCAAGTACATCGCTAAATATCTGTCTTAAACAATGTTACATGAATAACAGTCCAGTCCAATACGAAAATTCGTAAGATGACGGAAAAACGTAAGATTACGAAAAAGCGTAATATTACGAGTTATCATAATATAAAACTTATATTACAATTTTTCGTAATGTAGTTAAATTACGAATACACGTAATATAGCAGATTGTAAGACACTAAATTACGAGTTTTCGTAATCCAAGACAAATTCAAGCATTGCAAGAAATTGAGTGGTGGGTAGCAAAGTATGACGTCAGTAATATATCAGATTCCACGGCTACTGATAGCAGTAGCAATAGCGGTCAGTTTGGTCAGTTACGCCTTTTAGAATGCATGGAAATTCAAGAAGAAAGTACCGCCAGCGATGGATGAGTGGACAATTTCTTTTATTATTCTTTTATAGGAATTTTCCCAAGGATAAGACCAATTTTCCAGTAAATTTCAATATTCGCTTAAGCATGTCGCATTGGTCTATATCACCCGAACTCCCTACTTTTCTTGCGAAGTCTGCCCTAAAAATCACACCCTCGTCTCATAATTCAACTGTTCGTGCAATTCTTATTGAAATACACAGAATTCAAATCTCGGTAAGAGTGGTACAAGTTATCGCCCATGACATCTCATATTAAACGTCATACTTTGCTACCCGCTACTCAATTTCTTGCAATGCTTGAATTTGTCTTGGATTACGAAAACTCTTAATAAAATCTATTACATCTGCTATATTATGCATATTGCTAATTTAACTACATTACGAAAATTGTAATATAAGTTTTATATTACGATAACTTGTAATATTACACTTTCTCGTAATCTTGCGTTTTTTCGTCATATTACGATTTTTCGTATTGGACTGGACTGAATAAGAACATCAATAAATGCGCTCGATCAAATCTACGCTAACTTGTTTAAAAATCATTTTCCACTAAATATTATACATTTACAGTACCTCTTATCCTCTTATCATTGTTCAATAATTGTTGAAAATATTTTAAAGTGAAGGGGACTGTAAATCACTTCTGTTTAAGGGTCAACTCATAATAAGCATATTCCCTATAAGCGTGTTTCACTGTATATTGACATATAAGGGGACTGTAAATCACTTCTGTTTAAGGGTCAACTCATAATAAGCATATTCGCTATAAGCGTGTTTCACTGTATATTGACATATAAGGGGACTGTAAATCACTTCTGTTTAAGGGTCAACTCATAATACTGTGGTTTCATCAATATTCGTTGAACACCAATTTTCGTGGATTTCGTTGTTGAGCAGATCCACGAATTCAAATGTTCATCAAATTACGAAATATAACATACATTTGTATAGGCAATGCTTTTGTCCATGAAATTACGTATCCTCGAAAACGTCTGTTTTACAAAATCCACGAAAATTGATGCCAACGAAAATTGATGAAACCACAGTAAGCATATTGGCTATAAGCGTGTTTCACTGTATATTGACATATAAGGGGACTGTAAATCACTTCTGTTTAAGGGTCAACTCATAATAAGCATATTCCCTATAAGCGTGTTTCACTGTACATTGACATTCATACATTGTAGTGTACATACCAGGATGGGTTTGGTGAAGTTGCTGCCTAGACAGACTTGCCATTGACAAACATGGCTCCCTCAGTGACCACAGGGATCGACACTAACTTTGAAACCATAGTTGTCAGCAGGGCTAGTCATTTCTAATTTCTACTAGTCCTGTTCATGTATTAGTTGTCCAGCAGCCGTAGGCTGGTGGCTGAGTCACGAAGTGACGAGGGGGTAAGTGCGGGAGGGGGTTTCCCCCTCCTACAGGTGGGGGTAAGGGGGGCCTCCCCCGGGAAATTTTGATATAGAGATGGGAAATCCTGCATTCTGCCTGTATTTTGGGTAAAAATTATTTGTCATTCTATGATTGTACCTACATGTATAAGACATTTTTTCTATTCAAAAAATTCCATATTTATAATCATTAAGGGTATTTCGAATCACCTTTAAAGTTTACATTTTGACTTACAAATATGATAATTATGATGATTATAAACATATTTGAAAATAAATTTAACAATTATCAGGTATATTGTGTGTAAATCATAATTATTATTATCTTAGTGAGTACAGTGGACCTTCAGATATCCGGACGCCAGATATCCGGACGCTTCACCTTCCGGACGATTTTTCTCGGGAACGGATTTTTTCAACGTTATTTTGACTCATTTATCCGGAATTCCGCGTTCCGTATCCGGACGGCTCTTTTTTACTACAAAATGTATTTTTACCTTATAAATTGGTTCATTTATCCGGACGGTAAATTTTCATTTGTACTTGCATTCTTGTCAATATTCACGCCTGACCTGAGTGATTATTGTTATCAAAACACTGGTCGGATTTATTGTTTTTACAAGACAATCACCTGTGACCTGTTATGAATGACTCACGATGATTAGTGCACAGATTAAGCATGCTAAGTGGATATGGTCATAATATACGAGAGAACGATACACAAATGAAAATAAACAATTAACTGTGTTGGTAACAGAAAACAATTTTCTATTCAGTTATTTGTCATCTGCGAGATATTTATAATTTTAGTTCAGATCTGGTTTTAATGTTTTTTCTATTTATAGACGGGACGACATAGTTTCATAATCTCGTTGTCTACACATGTGCACACACAAATCGGTATTGTAATTTTCATCTGTAGATTGGTGGCAGTTATCATCAAAAAAAAAAGTAAAACATTCAATCAAATTTAAAATAATTTTAGACAATCAATGAATTACTGCGTGAATTTTTATTATGTCAGATTTAGCGTGGACGAGTGTTCAAATTAAAAATTAGACTCGATACTGACAGCTCGCTTAGTTGTAAATGAGAGAATTTGCTTGGCTACGTTCATCAATTTATGGGAAGTAGAAAATAAAAACTAAGCTGGATAATGAAAAATCTGCCCATATAAGCAGCGTTATATCCAATGTTTGTCATTCTGCTGACCAGCTACAACCATGTCTACACCACCGGCAAAGAGATCGAGCGCGAGCCGGCATTTCGTTTATAGTTAAAAAAATATTTATTATATTTGAAAAAAAGTGTAATAGTAATGCTGATGTATACTAAATATATAGTATTTAAAATTAAATAATTATTTCTATTTGATGGCATTTATCATTCTTTATAAGTAAGAGTTACAATGCCAATACAGCATACCTGGAAGAGAAATCAATAGAATTCAGATATCCGGACGCTTCACTTATCCGGACAATTTGCCTGGGAACCAAAGCGTCCGGATAAATGAGGCGCCACTGTAATTGGTAAAATTTACTGTAGCCCTGCAGGGCAAGTTAAAAGACATGTTTGGTAGTCCGACCTCAAAATTCAGTTGTCCCGGGCCAGCGGGCTAGCGTTAGTGTCGAACCCTGCAGTGTCACTCACACAGCACTAAAAAAGGAATTAATTAATTTATACAGTAAAACTCGGTTATAATGAAGTCACTGGGACCTATGAAATTACTTCGCTTTATCCATAATTCGTTATATCCGAAAAAGAAGTTCATTAAATTTACATAGCTGGGGATCCAAGATAACTTCACTATATCCGTGAATTCACAATATCCGTGTTCGTACTAACCGAGTTTTACTGTAGTTTAAAGAGATAAAAACTTCCCAGCAGGCACGCAACGTTGTTTCAACGTTGAAAGGAGGTGGAATATAGGTTGCAACGTTGATCAACTATATTTCAACGTTGTTTCAACGTTGAGGTTTCAACGTTGAATCCTCAACCTTTTTTCAACGTTGAAACAACGTTGAAGCTGCAACATATTTTCAACGTTGAACGTTCGTCGATATTTCAACGTTGAAACAACGTTGAAGCTGCAACATATTTTCAACGTTGAATGTTTGTCGATATTTCAATGTTGAAACAACGTTGAAGCTGCAACATTTTCTCCACTTTTGATGTTCGTTGATATTTCAACGTTGAAACAACGTTGAAGCTGCAATATATTTTTAACGTTGAATGCTTGTCGATATTCAACGTAAAAACAACGTTGAAGCTGCAACAAATTCTCAACGTTTGAAGTTTATTGATATTTCAATGTTGAAACAACGTTGAAGATTCGATCAACATGTTTTCAACGTTGAGTATTTTCTGATATTATAGAATTGAAACAAGGTTTAAAAATGCAAAGTTGACTGTTTGTTGATTTTAAGGTCAAAATATAAAGGTGTCTTTAACTCTTAATTTATGCGATTTTTCACACGATACACACAGCTGTATGCATTGTTAGAAAATATTACATACATGTATATATATATATATATATATATATATATATATATATATATATATATATATATATATATATATATATATATTATATATATAATTATACATAACATGCATAATAAATGAAACACATGCATTATGAATTGATTTACTCAAAAGAGTTGTGCAAGTTCAGTTAGTACCATTGCAAAAATTTAATAAATTGTGATCAATGCATTTTTTTTTTTACATATTTATAAAATATGTTAAATATAAGCTTTTGATAAATAAATGACATCTTTAGCCAACATCTCACTGCATTTCCACGTCACTTTAGGATTCATAAAAATAATTATTTATTCCAAATTAATGTTCTTAAAATTAGACTCATATAGATCCGTGCCGTATACTCTTCCGCAAAATGTAATACAGAGCGAATCTAAGAAGTCTTATTTTATCAGATTGTGCTTTTGTTGTGTGTATTAATTCTATAATCTTTCTTTTCACAAAATATATATAAAAGAAAAATTCAAATAAACACATAACAATTTTCAAACTGACAA